GGGATTTGGGGATGGGTTCCCGGCCGCTCCCGTCGTAGCTTTGTCTCTCTCCCTCTCGCTCTCTCGCTACCCCCTCTCTCTTTCTCTCTCTCTTATTTATCTTTTTTTTTATTATTTTTTTTTTCCCCCGTAATTGTGTTTTTTCCCTGCCCTCTCCTGCCCTGTTCCACGCCCGTCGGGATGTTTGGTGTCGTGCAAAGGTTTTCCTTCCTCTCGCCGCGCCTGGGTTTTTGATGAGATGGCGCTTCTCAGCCCGCGGGGTCCCCAGGGTTGGGCATCCTTGTCCTTCAGCCTCCTGCAAAACATAGAAAATCCATCACAGATCTGCAAGGCCATGGGAAAAAAATTACCAGTGATCCAGTTCCCTGATCTGGAGAATCCTGACTTTTCCCCACGTCAGGCTGAGCTGGGATTTTTGGCAGGAGCGTGCAAAGGGTGATCCCATCCTCCCGTTCCCCAGTTGGAATCGCTACGAGGGATCTGCTCGGTGTGGGTTTGGGGCTTCCTTTTGCTTTTTTGATGAGCAGCAGCTGCGGGAAAAGGGGGATGTGGGGATTAAGGGGGTGGGTGAAGCCACTTGTCGGCCTTGGGAGACTTGGGAATAGCTCCGAGCTTATCCAGGTGTGAAGCAGCACCTGGCGAGGCAGATGAGGGAAGGGACACACCACCCTCATACAGGTGCCGACTGGACGAGGGAGACAAGAAGGGGGGGTAAATTCTGCAGAAATTGTCCCTAGAGAACAGGAACTTGCAGATTGGGCATTGGAACTGGAATACTGAAAGGCTCCATGCCCCACTCGCCCCCCAAATGGTAAGGGCTGTGCCCAGCAGGTCTCAGGAATCCCTGGTCACCTCCCTGATCCTATAGCTGTGCCTCCCTGCAGAGGGTCGGGACTCCCTTGGAGAGCTTTGTAAGCCTTCAGGACTTCGGTCCCGCTTGGAAAAGTTCCCATTTTTTTTCCCCAAAAGTTCTCTCTTTTTTTTTAATAGCGGTTACAAAGTCGTCATCCTGACTTTTGAAGCTGTGCTGGCTGTTTTTCTGTCGTGTAGCATCTTTCTCGGCACCGAGGCCTCATCACTTCACACCCATGTGCAGTTATTTGCTGCTTTATTTTCAGACCTGTGAACAGTTTGTGGTTGGTTTGGGTTCATTTTGGCAGCTATCTTTTTAAAGCCCGAATGAATTCTGGTGTTTCTCTGGGCACTTGGGGATTAGTAGTGTGTTGAAAAGTTGAGGTTGTCCTTTAAGGAACGTGGATCTATCATTGCTTAACATCAGGTTTAACGGTGTTCAGTCTATTCTATGAAAATCTGATCATGAAATAAAGCTAATTGGTGGTTTGCTTTTCAGTGCTAGTGTAAACCATATTCAGGATGGATTGCTCATTAATGTTACAATATTTGTTTCATGGGTTTGAGTTATTTTTTCTCCTAAAGTGTTAGCCTGTTTTTATGTGACACAGTTGGCTGGGGAACCGACCAAGGGATTGGAGGATTTGGAGAGGAACCAGGAATTAAAGCACAGCTCATGAACCTTATTCGATCAGTACGAACTGTTATGAGAGGTAAGGAGATCACATTATTATTATTATTATCATCATCATCATCATCATCATCATCATCATCATCTTGATGTTTGTTGTTACTATTCTGAGTTTTGTCTTTCCTTGGAGTCTGGGAGCTGGGGGGAGCTCCGTGCTCAATCAGAGGGTGCAATTAGCTTCACCTTGTCTAAATTCAGTTTTATGGCAAGTGCCTGGTGAGGGAAACGTAATTTTATAGATTCTGAAAGGTAAGCCAGGCTTAAGTGCCCCAGAAGACTGGGGGGGGGAAATTTGCTTTATTTGTCAGTTATTGATAGTTTTTTGTTACAAAGCACACAAAAATTCTTTTTTTATGTGATGATAGAGAAGAAGTAAGAAATCTTACCTGTCAGGCCGACTACTGAGTAAAAAAAAACAAAACAAAACAAAAAAACCAACCAAACAAAAAATTTATTCTAAATCACAGTAAAGCCAAGGACAGAAACTGACTTTGAGATGGTTTAATTTCATTTGGAGAAAGAGTTATTTGGGTTAAAGTTAAAACAGAACTCAAGTCTCTGGGTTAAAGTTAAAACAGGCCATAGAAGAATATTTCTGCTGTTATTTCCTAGTAATTTTTAGTATCTTGGGCTTTGAGCCTAGCTCCTTCCACTGGTCCTAATTTTGCACAGGAAAATTTCATTGATTTTTTTGGATCTTTGATGGAACTCTGCTCCTTCTCCCAAGGTATTCTCTGAAGTTCTGTCATTTAGTGACGTGGAAAGGAAGGATTTCACAACTGGTCTTTTCTTTTTCCCTCTGCAGTGCCATTAATAGCACTGAACTCCATTACAATCGTCCTCCTCCTTTTGTTTGGCTGAAGACACCTGGTGAAAATCCTCTGGACATCCAAAGAAGCCAGTTGCTGACCATCACTGCTCTGAGTTTTCTGGCATCCAGCACAGTTTAGCTCCCAATTCGACCTCCAACTTAAAATAATAAAGACACTATTTCTATTCATCCTATTTCCCAATGTTCCCTTTCAGTTTCACTAACCAAGATCACGGGGATCAATTCAACAATGCTGCAAATATGTTGGACTGTGACAAGTTCTGTTGCTGCCTGTTCATAGTGTTGATGTCATAAAATACTGCAGTGACTGTTAATATAGGATGCAGTTTGTAAGTGTCTCGTTACTCAGGGATGAATTTCCTTCAGTACGCTTTCCAATTTGTTTTTAAATTGAGGAAAACAACAGTGTTTTGGTGTGGCTTTTTTTTTTCTTTTTTTTTTTTTTTCTTTTTTTTTAATTTCAATTACTACCACAGCACTATTTCATGGAATGTGAACTAGGCTCTGAAAACACGTTATCGAGAATTCAAGTTCATGTTATAGGGGATTGAAGTCCAGCTGTGATATGGAGATAAAACCAGCTGGGTTAAAGTTCTCATTCTGGCTCACATTGAAAGTTGAATTTTCCTGGTTTGATTGAGAACAGGATTTTTCTCTTCAGATCTCTTCAGTAGTTCATGCTGATGGTGAAGTCATTTGAAAATAAATGCAATTGCTGTGCAAAAAAAAAAAAAAAGAAAAAAAAAAAAAAGAAAAAAAATTCTGTACCTGAAGCTGGGCGACTCTGTATTAATTTAGCCTAGCAGGGGATATTAGTGATTAGCATTTGTTACTCTTCTGTCAAGGGGTATTAGTTTTTTAAATGTGGTTTAAAGTTTTTTTCTTCGTGGTAATTAGTGTGGTCGAATTGGGGAACCATTTCTATTCTGCGATTCCTGGGGAACCATTTCTATTCTGTGATTCCTGGGAAATGTGGGAGGAGGGGAAATACCATGGGAGAGGGGGAATATGATGCCCTTTTCAAATACAGTTCTTTGTTTAAAACCCCCCTCAATTTGCAACCTTTTCTGTTACTGCTCCTCCCCCCACCCTCCATCTTCATTTGTTAAATTAACAGCTTTGAAAGTGAAACTGTGGAAATGACCTTGCAGTTCTGTCGCAGAGAATATTGATAATTGCTTTGGTACAGGTTTCAATTCGTCTGCTGAGTTATCTCTGAATTAAAGAGGGCACATTCTCGTGTACCTTTTCAGAAAAGTTAGAATTCTCGTGTCTGTTTCTCTGCTAAAGTGTTTTACCTTAATTTTAACGAGGGGATGCCAAGGGGAAACCTGGCAGCTTAGTTTGTAATCTCCTGATGCCTTGATGACTAAAGAATACGCTGTTGTACATGAAGATGAATCTGTAAAATGTGTGAATGCATTTAAACATCTTTCAGTTGCAGTGTTTTGTCAGAGTAAAATATATCCAGGAGGAGAGTTTTGTTTTGTTTCCTTCTTTTATTTAGTGACTTTTGTAAATAAATTCTGAATTTCTAAGTTGAACACTCTCTTTCCTAACTCACTTTCTACCTGTGTACAGTGGGGATTAATCTCAAATCTGTCTTCATCCTGTTGCAGATATCAGAGTTACTGTTGTCACAGGAAATACTTACTTTTTTCCCCCTCATCCCTGTGATACAAGTATCTCTTGACTGTGAAGCTGTATTTTGGTTTATGTAGCAAACCTGATGAGCCGTGGCAACGCTGGCCTGAGGCAGAGGACGATCTTTTGAGTTCAGAAGTAGGTGGATCTGTTAGAAAGCATTTCTTTAATATAATCTTCGTGTAATTCAGAGGTGAAGAGGGTACAGGCTGTCTCAGTTTTTTTAATATATACCTGTCTTTCACGGAAAACGGGCAGCCTGTATGTGGAACTGATAAAAAAGTGGATCAAAATGATAAAACGTTTTGTGTTGCTGTAAAATCTTTGTAAAGAAAAGCAGTGGTTGATGTTCCCACTGCTGTTTCATTGGAGTGCTGAGTGATTTGAGGCGCAGGTTGTGTATCGTTTAATTTTTGTATCTATTGACTGTTAAAATACTAAAATGTGACAATAAAAAATACTAAAAAATGTGACAAGAAACAGGTTTAAAAACCAGTAAAAGCTGATTTCCCCCATCTTCTTGTCCTTCCAGAAGGGGTGAAGTTGCAGTGTGTGCAGCCCCAGCTGGAGTTCTGTAAAGAACAGGAATATGCAAAATGAAGTTTCCCCCCTGGCGTAAAGCTCCCCCATGTTATTATATATAATCATAATATCCATCTAAGGATATAAAAAGTGGATTAGTTATTATGGATATATTATGGATACAACTATATATAATATCTAGATTTATATAATATACTTAGAAGAATTTCTTCCACATATGTATGGAATATATAAAACATGAACCAGCATACATATAAGTATATAGAGAGCTTTTATATAAATATAAAGCATATAGTACTTTATATATGTTATTATGGTTATAGATATATCCATGTATAGGCATAATAATATTTTATGTATTATATGCAATTGTATATAATCATAGTATCCGTACATGGGTACATTATTGTATGTTATATCCATATAGGATGAAATATATCCATAATATATGGGTTATAAAATATCCATAACATATGGATTATGGATGTGTTGATAATAGAGTTATGGATATCCATAGTGTATGGATATGGGTGTGGTCGTATCCATATAGGAGATAATGGATATAACTTATGTAATTTATTATCATATCCATGTAGGATAACATTTATATAATTTACTGTCGTATCCACATAGGATATGAATATAAACAGGACATCGGATAAAAAAAGATAGGCATTGGGTATAATAATACGGGTGTAATGTCCATAATTGATGCAATTAATGTAATTTATATAATTTATAAAAACATCCATATTGTAAGGCGGCCCGGGCCCTCAGGCCCCCAAGGGCTGCCCGCCGCGCTGCCTGTCGCGACTGCCAGGGGCCGACCGGCGACAGCGCTCCCTGAGGGCCTCGGTCGGTGTTTATTTACAGCAGTAACAGTCGCATTATAATTTTTACACGCCGTGCCGGCCGCGGGCGGCCCCGGCGCTGGGCAGGGTGGCTCCGGCTCCCGAGGCCCCGCGGCGTGTGGGGCCGAGCGCGGCGGCGGCGGCGGGACCGGGTCAGTTCCGGGAGGGGGGGGAGGTTCGCGCCGTTTCCCCCCCTCCTCAGAGTGGGCGCGCCCGCCGCCCTTGGGCCGCCAATGGGCGGGTGGAACCATCCGCGGCACGAAGAGGGGAGTCCGCCGCGCTCGGGACTCCCCCGGTGAAGAATGGGCCGGCCCGCCTGCCCGTTGTGCGCTGGCGGGGAGAGGCGGTACCATCTTCTGGGGCGGGGGTGCTCACGGGTGTTGTGTGGGGCGGCGGGGACACGCCTGTGCCCTCGGCATCCCTCCCACTTATATAATCATGTATATAATTGTATGATATACCCCTCTTTCCCTTAGGTCGCGCCTTGTGTCCCTCGTGTCCTTGTCCCAGAGCTGGGCCGGTGGGTGCCTTTGCCCTGACCAGGTGAGTTTTCGTTGGGATAAGGTGGTGAAAAATGAGGTTCTGGGGTGTTTTAGGACTTCTTTTGCCAGGCCATGAGCGTTATCCTTGGAATTAGGCTGTGCTGAAAACTGGCTCTCCAAATAACTGCTTGTTTTCTGGATAAATACCCTGTGAACAGGAGAACCCACGGAGATCTAGGGTAAAAGATAGTGAAAAAACAGTAATTAAAAATAAAGTAGCTATAAAATAAATAAATATATTTCTAGCAATAACAGTAGAGGAACGACAAGAATTATTTATTCTTGGGGTGCCCCCTTTCCCCATGGAGCTGACGAGGCTCCTCTAGGAGCTCTGATGCCAGCTTTGTATCATAAGCGTTTAACTTTGGCCCTTCGTAGCAACAGAGAACACTGTAAAAGAGGCTTTTTCATTTATTTTCTTACTGCAGAGAATCAGCTGGAAAAAGGAAAGCAGGGTCTCAGGAGTTTTCTTTGTGTGTTTGTGTGTTTGTGTGTCTTGTAGCTGGGACATCAACTTCACGTGATCGCTGATGAAACCGTCTGCAAAGGTGACGCTGAGGGAAATTTAGATTTATTCAGGCAGGTTCTAACCATGGTGCTGACTATTCTGTGTGTGTTTTAGGAGTACAAACATGTAACATGTCGTCTGTAACCAAAACAGCTCAACACAACGATCATGATTCCCTCGCTAGCGGTGACAGATCACAGATTCACGGAGTGGTTTGGGGTGGAAGGGACCCTAAAGTTCATCCATTCCACCCCCTGCCGTGGGCAGGGACACCTTCCACTAGCCCAGGTTGCTCCAAGTCTCATCCAACCTGGCCTTGGACACTTCCAGGGATCCTGGGGCAGCCACAGCTTCTCTGGGCAACCTGTGCCAGGGCCTCACCACCCTCACATTCCTCCCCAATATCCCATCTAACCCTGCCCTGTGGCAGTGGGAAGCCATTCCCCCTTGTCCTGTCCCTCCAGGCCCTTGGAAATTGTCTCTTTCCATGTTTCTTGTTGGCTCCCCTCCGGGCCACAATTAGGTCACCCCGAAGCTTCTCTTCCCTAGGCTGAACAATCCCAGTTCTCTCAGCCTTTCCAGCAGTTCCTGTTGGAAAGCAGTTCCTAATGAACAGGAGTGTGTGTGTGTGTGTCTGTATTGAATATTCTCTAAGAAACGGCTCAGCAGGACTTGCTTTTGGAGCAAAAGGCAGCGTTTGCAGCTCACATGAGGAGAAGGAGTTGTTTCTGAAGAGTGGATTGTACCCAGGTGGCTGCTGTTTCCTTCCCCCATGCCTTTACCCTTCAAATGCTGGCTCTTAGTATGGCCTGAGTCTCTTGTACCTTTTTGTGTGACCCAGAAGCTCACTGTAAAAAAAACCTGGCTGGCTGTCCCCTTTGAGAGAACAGGGAGCAGCCCTTTGGGGTGCTGGGTATGTACAAGCCCTGACCATGAGGGAGCTGGGCTGGGGGGAGTCCCTTTGTCCTGACCAGGTGAGTTTTCTTAGGGCTGCGATTAGGGCTGCGAAAACTGAGGTTCTGGAGGTTTTTTTCTGGGACTTCCTTGCCAGGCTGTGAGTGATATCCTTGAAATTAGGCTGTGCTGAAAGCTGGCTCATCTGCAGACAACTTGCATATTTTCTAGGTAAATGCCCTTTGAACAGGAGAACCCATGGGGATCTGGGGTGAAAGATAATACAATAACAGTAATTTTAAAATAAAGCAATAACTATGACTAATAATCTTATTGGAAGGGAAAAGATAAAATAACAGTAAATTATATTAAATAATGATAATGATGATAATAATAATAGAAAAAGAAATAATTCTTGGAGTGTCCTATGCAGGGCCAGGAGTTGGACTTGGCCATGCTGATGGGTCTAAAAACCTGCAAGTTCCACCCTGTCACCACCAAACAGCCTCCAAGTCAGGGCTCCCGAGCCGTGGTTTGGGCTGGATCACCCTCGATCTTGCTTACAAAAGTAAAAATAAGCGATATCCACTTTGGGGGAGCGTTTTTAGCTTTACAACCAGAGCACTGGGTATTTATTTTCACTTCAGCAGTGCCGTGGGGCGTAGGTGGGACTTGCTGCAGTGTGCTTGCTGAGGCCTTGAACCAGCAATACCAGACCTAATGATCCTCTTCCCAACGCTCTT